AAGAAGAAGAAGAAGAAGAAGAAGAAGAAGAAGAAGAAGAAGAAGAATGAAGTAGCCGTCCCACAGTGTGAAGTCCAGCTCTAGAATGGCTTAGGCCAGACCTTGTCTATTTTTTGTGGATTTCAACTCCCAGAATTCCCCAGCCAGCACGTCCAACATTGGCCATTTTTAAGACTTTGTGGGCTTTAACTCCCAGAATTCTCCAGCAAGCCATGAATTGAAGTCTGGAAGATTGGACTCTTCTTGATTAGGACAAGCATGTTGTTACGAACTCACCGAAGTTTATAAGGCACGGTTTAGAGCAGGGGTGTCCAACCTTGGCAACTTTAAGGTGTGTGGACTTCAACTCCCAGAATCCCCTAGCCAGCACTGGGGAATTCTGGGAGTTGAAGTCCACACACCTTAAAGTTGCCAAGGTTGGACACCCCTGGTTTAGAGCTTAAGTAGTGTTCAGATGGCAATTGCAACCCAGCCCATCAAGCATGGTTAAACCAGGCCTTAATGCCAGATGCAAACCTCATTTCTGCAGAAACAAAACAAATAAATATACACATCAATGGGTTTTTTCCTGGGCCCTCCAAACCAGGAAGGCTGTAATTCTGAAATTAGGGGGAACCAAAACACGTTGAGGAAGAGAGAGAGGACCAAGAACTATTTGAAATCAAGAATCAGAAAATATTTAAAGCCAGGAATCAGAAAATATTTGAATTCAAGAGTCAGAAAATATTTGAAATCAAGAATCCAAAAATATTTGAAACCAGGAATCCAAAAATATTTGAAATCAAGAATCCAAAAATATTTGAAACCAGGAATCCAAAAATATTTGAAATCAAGAATCCAAAAATATTTGAAACCAGGAATCCAAAAACATTTGAAATCAAGAATCAGAAAACATTCAAAATCAGGAAAGAATCAGGAACTAATTGGAGTCACGAAGTATGAATTGAGGGATCAGAAAATACGTGAAATTGGGAAAGATTAAGAGGTTCTTAAAACCAAGAGTCAAACAATTTGAAATGGAGAGAATCTGAAAATATTTGAAATTAGCAATCAGAAAATATCCGAGATGAAGAGCCCCCTGCTTGGACATGCATCAACAGTGAATTTTCATGACTTTGAATCAGCCGTTCTCTTAGCCCATGAAATCACCCGAAGTCAAGGGCGATTAGAAGGATTGAGTGGGAGAAAGAGCATTAATTATTGTCCAAAGTTCTTTCAGAAGTTCTTTATTTGGTGAACCTTAAAGAGTGCAACACCACAATTCCCAACACCACCAATGTGGCAGAATTAAGCCCAAAGGCTTCAGCAGGTGAATGGTGTCTTTTTATCCATTCTGCATTTTCTTCCCTTATGTGAAGAGCGCAGTGTGTGGCTCCCTAAAATCAAATCTGTGAGGCAATGGACGCAAGGTACGGTCAAAAAAGTAGTCAAGATGGTGGCCAGAAGGTGCCAGCGAAGCTCCACCTGCTAGAAGTGACCACCCCCCTGTGGCCGCCATCTTGATTTATTTTGCCCTGCGCTGAAAAGGTCTTGACCGCCGTGGACTCTAGACTGGAAGTTAACTTCCCTGCAGTGCAAATGGCACAATCCATGTCGTGTGTGTGTGTGTGTGTGTGTGTGTGTGTGTGTGTTTGTTTTGAAATTTCACACTTCTCTTTCAGACTTGGAATTCAGTACCGGTGAACCTCAACGGCCTTGAGGAGTCTCGCAAAATGCCCTGGTATCCAAGGTGTGTGTGTGTGTGTGTGTGTGTGTGTGTGTGTGTGTGAGAGAGAGACCTGTGAGAATTTGAACCCAGGTTTTTCCCAGGCTTGTCTCTCCATTTGTTCAGAAACTCAGTGGTTGTCATGGGTGATCCTTATTTAAGGACGAGCTGAGCAAATGGCAGCTTCTCTACAGCACGACAAGCACCAAAAACCCTTTGAACGAAAATACGCAGCTAAAGGTGTGTTTTACCCACCCAAATGTTGAAGGTGTGTGTGTGTGTGTGTGTGTGTGTGTGTGTGTGTGTGTGTATGTATGTGTATATATCAGGGGTCCCCAAACTTGGCCACTTTAAAGACTTGTGGACTTCAACTCCCAGAATCCCCCAGCCAGCATAGTTTACTCTCTTGTAATCCCTTCTTCTGCAATCTCTCTCCACTTTAAGAGAGGTTAAGAGAAAACAGACATAGCTGTCTGGGGGATTCTGGGAGTTGGAGTCCACAAGTCTTTAAAGTGGCCAAGTTTGGGGACCTCTGTTATGGGGTTCCTATGTGGGTTTACGGAGAATATTCCAGAACGATCCTGGCCGCCTTCTGCTCTCCGATCAGTTGTCCATCTGGGACTCGCTGTTGGGTGAGGCGGGATGAGGTACCTCCGCTTGGGGCGTGGACAAATGCTCCAGTTCGTAGCGCCCGTCTTGCGAGGCGGCCTCCTCCGCCGCGCCCGGCTGCTGGTTTTTATTCCTCTTGTGCTCAATGATTTGCTGCAGCTGCTGCCCCGCGTAGCCGGGCTTGGAGGTAAGTGGGCAGTTGGGCACCACGATGCCCAAGATGTCGGAGACCATGTAAGGGCGCAGCCAACCCACTAACGGCGTGCTGCCTGGGTTGTAGTGCGCTTGTTTGTGGTAGAATAGGATCCCGTCTACCTGTGAGGAGAAACGGGAAGAAAACAACTGGGCTTGGTTCAGGGTAAGGCGCGGGCGTCCGTGGGACAGAGGGCAAAAAAGTCAAGATGGCGACCGGAAACGGCGAGATTTGAAGCTCCCGATTTAAGAATTTCAATTATAGTACAGATAAAAATATATAAATGTACATAAGGATATATAAATGTAGAGATTTATGTTGGTTTGTATTATGATTTGTATCATAATGAGATTAGTTTGTGGAATAATGATGACACAATACTATTAAAATTAAGATTTACCTGTTTTTAAAGTTGGAAAATAACAATAAAAATTATTTGGAAAAAAAAAAAAGAGAAGAATTTCTAATATAATACAGGCAGTTCTCAACTTATGACCGTTTGGAGCAAGGGTTTGGAGCAAGGACACGACTGGAAAAAAAGTGATTTATGACCACTCCTCGCAATGACGACCGTCGCGGAATTCCCCACAGCCATGTGATCAGAATTCGGGCGCTTGGTAACCCGTATTTAGGATGTTTGCAGCCTCTTGGGGTCATGTGATCACAGTGGAAACTTCTAGTAGTTTTCAGGTGTGTGTGTGTGTGTTTGTGTGTTTTTGTGACTTTCTCCACCAGAGGAACTGTGTTTGCACCAAAAGCCCAGCAGGGGGAGCTCCATGTTTTGAGAAGCCTATACGCTCAGAGGGTGACTTGGCTTAAGCAAAATTCAGAATAACAAGAGTTGAGAGGGACCTTGGAGGTCTTCTAGTCCAACCCCCTGAATCCTGGGGCCCTAAAACACACCAGGCAAATGGGCTGCCCAGTCTCCTCCTAAAAAACCTCCAGTTTGAAGGGGGTGCTGATATCTGGAGACACCGCCCTCCTTTTTTAAATAGTTTATTTATACATTTTCCATTTAACATATATTTGTGTTTTGTGAACAGTGTCTGGGTCAATTGTTTACATTGTAATATATCATATAATATCAATAGTTAAATTGTTTGTAATAATAATAATCATGATAATAACATATTTCTCAGTTCCTGAGTTCCATTTCCATTTCCCAACCAATTATAAAACAAATCCCATATTTGAAAGTATTCTAATTCTTCCTTCTCTTTTATCTTTAATATCAGCCTATCCATTTCTGTGCAATCTAAATTTAAATATCTATCTATCTATCTATCTATCTATCTATCTATCTATCCATCCACCCACCCACCTACCTACCTACCTACCTACCTACCTTCCTCTCTCAGGGTTTCCCCATTTTTTCCAGTATTGTGGAAATACAATTCTTGCTGCTGTCAAGATGGACACTATTAAATATAAATTCTGCTTTGTTGGGGAGCCCAGCAGGAGTAGCGCCCCCCCCCCCCCTTGTAGACCCAGCCTGGTTCTGAAAGCCATTTAAAACTGAGGTCCATTCATGGGAACAAGGCCAACTCACCTCGAAGGGGAATGTCATTGCCAGAACCTCACACAGGCTGGCTGGATTGCAGGAGTAGCTCTTGAGGCCCACAAACCTATACTGAGAAAGAAGCCAAAGATGTCAACACACAGACACCTGACATCAAAAACGTCATCGACAAAGCACCGTAAAGAAGGTTCTTTCTGCGCCAACTCAGGAAGCTCAAACTGCCCAAGGAGCTGCTGATCCAGTTCTACAGAGGAATTATTAAGTCTATCATCTGCACCTCTATAACTGTCTGGTTTGGTTCTGCAACCCAACAGGACAGACACAGACTCCGGAGAGTAATTAGGACTGCAGAAAAAACAATGGCTACCAATCTGCCTTTCATGGAGGACCTGTATCCTGCACGAGTCAAAAAGAGGGCTGTGAAAATATTTACAGACCCCTCACATCCCGGACATAAACTGTTTCAACTCCTTCCCTCAAAATGACGCTATAGAGCCCTGCACACCAAACAACTAGACACAAGGACAGTTTTTTCCGGAACGCCATCACTCTGCTAAACAAATAATTCCCTCAACACTGTCCATCTATTTACAAAGTCTACACTACTATTACTATTAATCTTCTCATCACTCCTTATCACCCATCCCCTCCCACTTGTGACTGAATGACTGTAGCTTTGTCGCTTGTATCCTAACGATTTATATGGACTGTTTCCTAGTATAATTTGATTGCTTATTGTACCCTATAACTATTATTAAGTGTTGCACCTTATTATTCATGACTCTTGATGAATGTATCTTTTCTTTTATGTCCACTGAGAGCATTTGCACCAAGACAAATTCCTTGTGGGTCTAATCACACTTGGCCGATAAAGAATTCTATTCTATTCTAAATTTTATTCTATTCTAAATTTTATTCTATTCTAAATTCTATTCTATTCTATTCTATTCTATTCTATTCTATTCTATTCTACCCGATTTACATGCACCTAAACCAGGGGTCAGCAACCTTAAACATTCAAAGAGCCGTTTGGACCCATTTCCCACAGAAAACACCGGGAGCCACAAAAACCTTTCCTGTGCCTGACTATTTACTGAACGGCCACAAAACTAGCACATGCAGTTGAATGAAATGTTCTGTTCTCTTCTAAAACTTTTCATTTCTTGGATTTATCCATGGTTGGCCTACCGGGGATCGCAAAACTCAACACATCACATGCCAGCGGGCGTCGCACATTGGCGATTGTGACACATATTTTGAGCGACGGAGCCGTGGCGGAGGGATGAAAGCGCCACAGGCGGCTCTTGAGCCACGGGTTGCTGACCCCCTGACCTAAACTGACAAGCTTCTAATGATGACTGTGGCCTCACTTTTAATCCAACCAGCTTGCACATTTGGGTCAAAATAAAATCCAAAAAAAAATGACTCACTGGGTTAAGTCTGCTTTTTTCTGACAAGTCTGTCTCCTCTTCCATTTTGGAATGTAGCCAGTAGAACCTGAAATCTGTCTGGAGAAAGGGGAAGAAAAGGGACCAAGAGGTGTGAAAGGCTCTGTCCCCCAAGGTCATTGCACATCCCACTAGAGCTTCACGCAGCACAAATTGAACCTTGCTTCTGCGGTTCATCGAAGCAATGGAATCCTAAGAACACCCAGCATCCCAACTCACAAGCCTAACACTAACCAGGTTTCGGAGGAACCTCTGAGGCATCTCTAGTTGGCCTAGTGGGGTGAGCTTGGCCACAGTTACCTGGCAGTCATAGACAGGGTGTCCCCGCCAACACATCACATCCAGGATGTAGTACGTCTGCTGGACCTCATTGTAGATGCAGTCCAAGATGGTGTATTCTGTAAGCAACCCCAACCGAGGTTAGCCTTTGTGTCAAGCTCTGACTGTGTCATAAATCGGGATTGTGCAAAAGCTTCTGTTTTGCTTTGGTCCCTGCCAAGAACGACAACGATGATGGTCGTGAGGGTGATGGGGAGAAAAGAAACTCACCTTTGCCTGTCGCTGAATTAAGCCGGTTCCCACCAGGCAGAAGGGAAGGGAACTGGTTGACACAGAAACCGCTTTTGGTGTACGCTGATGTGTTGCCCTAGAAGTGCGCAAAATGAAAGAGGAGAAGAAGGATGTGATCTTATTTTTTCTTTTCAAGGCAAAGGATTCCCTTGACCTGGGCATCTTGGTTTAAGCTTGGGAAGAGGCAGAAGGAGGAAGAAGCGAAGGAAGGAAGAAGGAAGAGGAGGAGGAGAGGAGGAAAAGGAAGAAGGAAAAAAGGAAAAAGAAGGAAGAAGAATGGGAAAGGAAGGAGGAAGAGGAGGAGGAGG